AGGAATAGTTAAGAGATGAGGCGTGTTGTCAAAGTTATGATATCAAACTAATATTTCTGCTAAGGGTGTAGCTGTACATCGTTCCTGGTTGAGCTGTTTGAGGACTTTCCAGGTCACAGGTTTATCCCCACAGAAGATTTCTCTCTGCCTGGGCTACTACTGCTGTAACCGGTGCCTGAGATGTAATCTGGGTTAAAAATAAAATTTCAAGAAAAGATAACAAGTGATTTGATTTACACCTCCCAGTTGTAAGAGTGTAACCAAGGGATTGGTGAGCATTGGGGTGGGAATTCCCTAAGCTTTACTGGGCACTAAAGCCCATGTGGCATTTACTTATCTGAAGTTTGTTGGTTTTAGAACTTTTCAGAAAAGTTTGTGTTTTCAGGATGTATTTTAAGTGGCCGCAAGTCAGGACACAGAGGTTAAAGGTGGGTTGGTAATTTTGTGGTGCTAAAAATTATTCAGTTCTATTGTAAACTGATGTAGCTAAGTGAGAAACTGAAAGTGAAGAGCTTTGTGACTCTTCCAAATTAAAAAAAAACAAGATTATTATAGGTACCATGTTTCAAAACCAATTATTTGAGCCATAAGGTTAGGCAGGAGGTAAATAAGAAGCAAATTTTTGGGTACACTGAAGTAGGCAGGTCACATAAGCAACATTTTTCAATCTTGTTACATTTTCTTTTCCATTTACACAGCATAGTGTACACTTTCCCCTTTACTGTTTCTAAGCTCAGAAACTTGACACGTGTTTAATCATTGTCCCAAAATAGTGGATGGGAATTGGTAACTGTTGCTAAAACTTGTTTTTCTGTAGCCTTGAAACAGTAAGAATGAGCTAAATTACTTTGAACTACTTAAAGGTCAGGTCTACAATACTCATTGTAGGATTAAAAAAAAAAACCCAAACAGCTCAAACTAATTTTCAAATGAATTGTACAAAGTCTTTGGTACGGTAGCACTTAACTTCAGACGGCTTTTGGTTAATAGTGGAGAAAATTCTCCTCATCCTGGAAGTCCTGAAGTGCTGGCTTCTGAATTCTTGCCTTGTCCCAGGATCTGCAATCCGGTGGCGAATCCCCACACGTTTCCAGTGCAGGAATGCACCCTGGAAAAAACATTATCTCAAACTGGAAGTGTCTGCAGCAAAGTTGAATACAGCCCATTAAACACAGGCTGAAACGTCCTGCTGAGAATATGTTTGAAACTTTTGAAAGTGTCTTTAAATTTCACTGTGTTTCTCTTGAACTTTGAAATACTCTCATTTATTGTGGGCCTGGGTCTAAGTGCATGCTCTTCCTTGGAGGAGGAACAAGCCACCATGTGCTCTTCCTTGGAGGAGGAACAAGCCACCATTTCTTTGATACCAACCCTGTCCCTGCTTAGAGAATGGTAAGTAGCTTGAAGATGAAAAACAACTTTTCCAGCTCCAACTTACTTATCACTTAATGTGTGCACCTTGATCTCCCAAGATACTGGATCTATTTACTTCTAGTTTATGGTTCAGCCCAAACGCTCCCAAGCTACTGGATCTATTTACTTCTAGTTTATGGTTCTTTAATCGCTCCTGAATGTGGCACCCCATACCTTATGGTCCAACAACTGCTACGTGGACTGTCTAATAACTGGTAATAAGATGGTGACTCTCTTCCCTCACTGTGACTTAGGGCACTGATAAAAGTGCCCTCTGCCACTGAAAGATTAACGAAGAGAACTGAGCTTTATAACTGAGTTTTATAACTTGGCTGAGCTTTCGTCGCGCTCATCTTTTCATGCGGAAAATATTTTCATATTGTTCAAATTACCTTCTAAAAATATTTGACGTTTTTGCTACCTCATTAAGTGTAAAGAGCTGATATTGTTCCTGCTCCTCAGCCCACCACCCCTTTTGATTTTTCTGAAAATAGGGTGTATATGCACGTGTTCTTTGTCCACGGTGAAGGCTTGTGGAGGAGCCACTTGTTTGAATGGTGGTGTCAGTGCAATGAGGGGGAAAAAAGATTTTACAGAAGTGACTTAACGGAGCAATATCCCACATTCATGGCAAGCACGCTGCTCCTGTAATAAATTTACATCAATTTATTGCACATCGCTCACTTCCGCTGTTTTATTTTGAATTCTGTAACCAGATCAAGGTCGAGGAAGCAAAAGATGAAAGGAGAAGGGGGAAAGGAAGCCAGAAGAGGGGAGAGGCGGGCGGGAAGGGGGAAGCAGGAGAAGGAATGGTTCAGAGCAGGGTCTGAAGGAGGTGAGTGGAATAGAGCTCTCCCACTTCGAGACTGGAGAGATGAGCAGATGAACAGAGAAGAAAAATGAGCCAGTCTGCTGGGCTTTTAAGAATTAGGAGTATTTCTTGTTGACATTTTCCTTCGTGATTATGGTTATGCCTCGGTGCTATTTCTACCTACCAGGTATACTGTTGATAGTCCTTGTAAATTGTGTTATTCTTTTTGTGGCCAGTTGCTGAACAGAAGTACTTCTGGACTTCTGATGTGCCAAGGAATTGACTGGGAATTCAGAGGGAAGGGTATCCCCAGGCCATTTTAGAATACGCTGTTACAAGATTTTACTGTAGTGTTTTGGTCTGAGATCAATTAAATATGCTTTTCATTTGATTCGTGCTGGAGAACAAACAGTCTGGATCTTCAGATGCCTCTTGAGATCGATATGTTTTCTTTCACTGAAGGGAGTGTTTTGCTTGTGCTTCACTTCTTCCTCTGCAGTAGTGTGAAATTTCAGGTGAAATCCAAATATAGTTTCACTCAGACTCTATATACATTAAGTCTTCATTAATCTCTTCTCTCAGATCTTTTTCCTCTGTCTGAAAGGGTTTGCAGGATCAAAAGTGAAATCGTAGGAACGAGAAGAAGCCAAGTGCAAATGTCTGTAGAACAAGGTGGGCTCTGACAGCTGCCATTTAAATAATAATAATAATAATTTAAATAATAATAAGGCTGGTGAGATCTGTGATAAGTTGTTCCAAACTTGCCGTGCTCTTTGTATCTGCAGAGCTCCACACGGGCAATTTGCAAGTGTGGTATGATTTTTTTATGTGCATGTAAAGGGAAAATAAAAGGATGATGTGAAGAAACTTGGCTGACTCCAGGAAATAATCAGATCCAATTACGTTGTTGATGTTTAACCACCGGCTTTACCGAGATGATATTTCTATCTCATGTTGATTGTCTGAGTCATGGGGAACACAGAAGACTTTTCATGGGAGCTTTGGGGGGGGGCTTAAGTTAAGAAGGTGAAACATGGTGTCTTATGTTTCCGTGACAGGGAAATAATTCAGAAATAATTGGAGCAAACCCAGGAACTGTTTTTCCTTGTTTGGGAGATGCTCTGCTCTGCTTTGGTGGCCGCAGGAGTTCCAGTGCAGGGGCAGAGGATGGCTGGGCACACTTCATCTCATGTGGCACAGGTTCTTATCAGGAACAGCGTGGCGAGTAGGGCCCGAGAGGTGATTGTCCCCCTGTACTGGGCACTGGTGAGGCCTCACCTCGAGTACTGTGTCCAATTTTGGGCCCCCTACCATAAAAAAGACATTGAGGTGCTGGAGCGGGTCCAGAGAAGGGCGACAAAGCTGGTGAGGGGTCTGGAGAATAAGTCTTCTGAGGAGAGGCTGAGGGAGCTGGGGGTGTTCAGCCTGGAGAAGAGGAGGCTGAGGGGAGACCTTCTTGCTCTCTCCAACTCCCTGAAAGGAGGGGGTAGAGAGGTGGGGGTCGGTCTCTTCTCCCAAGGAACAGGCGACAGGACGAGAGGAAATGGCCTCAAGTTGCCCCAGGGGAGGTTCAGGCTGGATATTAGGAAAAATTTTTTCCCTGAAAGGGTTCTCAGCCATTGGAATGGGCTGCCCAGGGAGGTGGTTGAGGCCCCATCCCTGGAGGTGTTCAAAAGAGGGGTTGATGTAGTGCTGGGAGGTCTGGTTTAGTGATGATGCTCCTTGTTTGTTGTGTGGGTGTCTATTTTTGTCAGTGAGGTTGACGGTTGGACAAGATGATCTTTAAGGTCCCTTCCAACCTAGAAGATTCTGTGGTTCTGATTCGAGGATCAGCTTCATCCTCCTCAAATCAGAGGCATTTGGTTTTCAGGTACTGCTTGCAGACAGTGTGGGGCATGTGGTCCTTGCTGCTCCTTCAGGACCTTCCACAAAACCCGTGCATTTGCTCCCACACGTAGGAGAGATCTGGTCCCCAAGAAGGCAGTTCTCTATTTTTTCCAAAGAAGTTGCTTTCCTTGTATTATTTATCACATACGAAAAAATCAATTTGTGTGTATTTGATTTAAACCTAAACTTCCCTTTGAGGTTTATAATCCATCGTGTTTTTGAAGGAATTTTCAATAACTTCTCATCCTAGTCCAAACCTATTTATTAAAAGCAGCTTTAGGCAATCAGTACCTGCACTACAGCGGGAAAGCAGAGCTATTGGCAGCTGTTATTTTATGTTTACTAGCTTGAACTCTGCCTGAAAATTCATGCTGTAGTTTCTCCAAAGCTTTCCTGGTATTAAATACCTTCTCTGGGAGACTTGCTTGCTCCTGCACACTTTTAAGTGAACCCAAGCTAATGTCTTTTCCACTGAAAAGAAATATTTGACAAAGTCTGTCAGGTTTAAGAACCCTGAGCAATAGTTTCCTGAGCCCAGAAAATAAAAATATAGGTTTCTTGCCTGGATGACAGTTTCAAAATCGCTTTCTTTTCGGTATTACAGACATTTGTTTTTCTCTAAATGGTGTTAGGAATTTGTTTTGAGTGGGCAGTAGCAGACACGCGGAAGATGATATGAGTGATAGATTGCAAATAATTTCAGCTGTGGTTTTGAAAATTATAAGTAGGTAATTGCATTTCTGTAGAGTTTGTTGTGCAGTCTGGATCCTAGAAAAACCTGACCCTAGAGGATTGGGCTGAATTTTCTTCATACAGAGTCTTATAATCGTGAGGCCACTTCACTTTTGCTTTCAGCGATGACAATGATGGTTTTCCTCTTTTGTTTCAGGATACCCGTGATCTCTCGTATGTGGAAAAAACTCTAGCAGAAAGGTGGAAAAAATGGGTGTTAAAACCTTCACTCATAATTCCCCTGCTCACAGTCAGGAGATGCTGGGCAAGCTGAACATGCTCCGCAACGACGGCCATTTCTGTGACATCACCATCCGCGTCCAGGACAAAATCTTCCGGGCCCACAAGGTGGTTTTGGCGGCCTGCAGCGACTTCTTCCGCTCCAAACTCGTTGGCCAAGCAGAAGACGAGAGCAAGAGCGTGTTGGACCTTCACCACGTGACGGTGACAGGTTTTATACCTCTCCTGGAATACGCCTACACGGCCACGCTGTCCATCAACACGGAGAACATTATCGACGTGTTGGCCGCCGCCAGCTACATGCAGATGTTCAGCGTGGCCAGCACGTGCTCCGAGTTCATGAAGTCCAGCATTTTATGGAATACACCCAACAGCCAGCAGGAGAAGGTGCTGGACGCGGGGCAGGAGAACAGTGCAAACTGCAATTTCACCTCTCGAGATGGCAGCCTTTCCCCGGTGTCCTCCGAGTGCAGCGTGGTGGAAAGAACCATTCCCGTTTGCCGAGAGTCCCGAAGGAAGCGCAAAAGCTACATCGTTATGTCTCCCGAGAGCCCCCTTAAGTGTAACACCCAAACGAGTTCCCCCCAAGTGCTGAACCCTTCAACTTCTTACCCGGAGTCCAGGAATCAACCCGTGGACTCCTCCTTAGCTTTTCCCTGGACTTTTCCTTTTGGAATTGATCGAAGGCTTCAGTCTGAGAAGGCCAAGCAGGCGGAGAACTCTAGGACTTTGGAAATGCCTGGGCCCTCTGAGTCCAACAGAAGGATTGGGGATTATGTGACTTGTGAGAGCACGAAAGCCAGTTCTCCCCTTGTGATCGAAGAAGACGTGCGCGTCAAAGTGGAGAGGCTCAGCGACGAGGAGGTCCACGAGGAGGTATCGCAGCCCGTCAGCGCGTCCCAGAGCTCTCTGAGCGACCAGCAGACAGTCCCAGGGAGCGAGCAAGTGCAGGAAGATCTCCTGATCAGCCCACAGTCTTCCTCTATAGGTATGACCACTGCTGGGGTGAGGTTTCTGGACCAATTGGCATGTGTGCACTTGTGATTTTATTGGAGGAAATGTGCTTCATGTGCTTTTGTGCTTTAGTTCTCTGAAACTGCTTTGTTTTTTTTCCTCCTGTTTTACGAAATATTATGCATAACATTGGGGTTGTTGTCAGCCTGTTGTTCAGCCTGGAGAAGAGAAGGATCCAGGGAGACCTTAGAGCCCCTTCCAGTCCCTCAAGGGGCTCCAGGAGAGATGGGGAGGGACTCTGGATCAGGGAGAGGAGCCATAGGAGGAGGGGAAAGGGTTTGACCCTGAAAGAGGGGAGATGGAGCTGAGATGTGGGGAAGAACTTCTTTGCTGGGAGGGTGGGGAGAGCCTGGGATAGAAGCTGTGGCTGCCCCATCCCTGGAGGGGTTCAAGGGCAGGCTGGAGGGGGCTTGGAGCAACCTGGTGTGGTGGGAGGTGTCCCTGCCCAGGGCAGGGGGGTGGGACTGGATGGTCTTGAAGGTCCCTTCCAACCCAAACCATTCTACAATTCTGCAAAATAAACCCTGATGGGGGGACAGGACTTGGAGCTCTTTAAATAACTTTGCAGAAGGCAGCTAAGAAAGGTAAGCCTGTTGGTAAACCTGCTTATTCAGAGGAGATTGATAACCTCTTTTTACCTCTAGTTGCTTGACTGGGGGAAATAATTCTTTTTTCAGTGAGATTGATAACCCCTTTTTACCTTTAGGTGCTGAGAAGAGATTGATAACCTCTTTTTACCTCTAGCTGCTTGAGTGGGGAAAATAATTCTGTTTTCAGTGATTGATAACCCCTTTTTACCTTTAGGTGCTTGACTGGGGAACATAATTCTGTTTTCAGTTAAACCCTGATGGGGGGGACAGGACTTGGAGCTCTTCAAATAACTTTGCAGAAGGCAGCTAAGAAAGGTAAGCCTGTTGGTAAACCTGCTTATTGAGAAGAGATTGATAACCTCTTTTTACCTCTAGCTGCTTGAGTGGGGAAAATAATTCTGTTTTCAGTGATTGATAACCCCTTTTTACCTTTAGGTGCTTGACTGGGGAACATAATTCTGTTTTCAGTGGTGTCAAAAGGCATGATCTCCACTGAGCTGCAACACCAAATCTGAAAGACTTGTGGCTGCAGCCACAAAGGCATAGAATGGTTCTTTGCATCAGACATAAAATCTTGTATAATCATGACAGAGAGCCTTTGTAAGAAAATTTGCAAAATAAGTGGTGGAACGCTGTCATCTTCATGCCCCAGACGAAAGCAAAACCACACAGTCATAATATTGAGAATCTTTCCACTTCTCTGGGATTTGGTTCTCAAGTTGCTTCTTCAAATACTGCCAATTGCTGAGAGAAACCTTTTTTTTCCATGAAAGACAATTCAAAGCCAGTTTTGGGTTCTTCTAGCAGGCTGTTGTTTATTAATAGCTAATACTTAAAGGTTAGTGTAGCAGTCCTTTTTTTCCTCTTTGCACAGAATGCTTTGAGTGGGTTTTTGTGCGCCAGAAGAGAGAGGGCTTGCAATATTTCTAGTTTAATTACCAAATTTTTGTCTAAGTCAGCTATTTTTGCTTTCAGTTAAGTGGCTTGACCTGCGCTCGGTAGAGTTTGTTTACTGGAAGATTTTTAATAAAGCCTCTTTTGTTTGAAGACCGTAAGAATGGCAAAGGTAGTAGGTCTGCTTCGCTCCAATAATGTATACATGAAAGGCTGCCTCAGTTAATTAAATAAATAAAGGGCAACAAAGTAAATAAATGGAGTCTAGTAGCCTGCATTATTTGTTTTGTTTGGTCAGCGTAACACTGTGCCCTCTCTTAAGAAAGTGAGTGTTAGATCAGTCTGACCATTGCAACGTATAATCAAACTCTTCAGGTAATACTCACTAAAAAGAAATGAAAATATTTTCCATTTATCCCATCCTTCAAGACTTTATGTTGTTGGTTTTGTTCCTTGGTTTGTAGAGCTCATGTGTTGATACTTTAGATCCGTAGTGGTTTTCCAAATGAAAATGTTTTATTTACTGGAGACAAGGCTGTTTACCTTTTCTGAGAAGCAGACTTAATATCAGTTTAAATAATAAATCTTTAAATGTAGTTTGCCAAAATAGTGCATAGATTAAAAATTAAAACAATTTCTTTGCTGGGTAGTCTCCAGGAAAAGTGGTTCTTGTTTAAGAGCAGGTTTAGTTTGACTCAGTTTTTAATTCATTACAGTAGGAACTTTGGAGGGGCCTTGCCAGGGCCATGTGATAAGAGATGCCAATTATTTCATCAATATAATTACACCATCACAGACAAAACAGAACAAGTTTAAATACTGATTAGGGAAAGGTATAAATAGCATATCAAGTGAAAGGAGGGAGTTTTACCGACTCTAAATAGCATACCCAGGCAACTTAAAAGAACAAACTGGGTATAAATTCCAGATTTCCAGGTGAGTAGCATACGATTTATGGAGGTTTTCAGAGGACATCTCTTGGAGTTAGAAATACCAGAAAATAGTGAGGTCGTGTACCTGTTATAATCTCTAAACTTAAATGTCTGCTATTAAGGATCTTTCTTAAAAAAAGAGAGAAGAAAAATGTGCTAGGCCAAAGTCTTCAAAGTCCAAATCTGTTCTTTGTCTTTGAATATGTTTGAATTAATGTTTACTGGCATTTGCATAACATTGTTAACTATCCTCAGAGTAGTTTTTATTCACATTTTGCTATAAAGAGAAACAATGCTCTTGCTTTTTAGCACAGTTCACATTTACCTAATATACGATAAGGTGCACTTTGTAACTAGAAAGTACTTTTTACCTCCCAAAGATGTATTTCCTTACTCAGTAATATAAGAACAGTAAATGGAGGCAGCAAGATATGTTAAAGTACAGCTTTCTGCTCCCTGAATGTATTTTCCTTGTATAATTGCATATATTTATCTCAGTGTTTTATAGTGCGTTTATGAAAGCATTCCTGCCTTCCTTTCCTGATACTGCAAAAAGCTCTTACTCACTCTTTGGGCAATTTCAAGAATTGTTCATTTGCAATTTATTATATTTGGAAGCACTTTATAATACAGAAGGAGACGTGAAGCAGGGCCTTGATAAATAAGTCATTATGGTTACAACAATAGCTATGTCTGAGAAGATATTTTCATAACTCATTAACACTGTTTCCATTTGAGAGGTGAGGGCATAAAATTTAAACCTAAGAGAAATTGGACTTATTTTTCAGTGGACTTTCGGTTAAGTATTTCATGAGAAAGAAGGATAAATCAAAATGGGGTTAAGTCTTGTAACTTTATAGATTGCATCGTTGCTGAATTTTCCAAACATAGTTTGTCGGCTCATAACAAAATTATAAATTTTGATTCTCCTGGTATTATTTTGGAACTGCTAGAGATACAAGTTCCTTCCCATCACTGGCCCCATAACGTGAGGTCATGCTATGACAGAAATCTTTCACTTCAGTAAGGTTTTGTAGAACACTCTGTCCTTTACAGAGACAGCCTTTTTTGGAGACAGTGCTCTCACTCCTTCTGACAAAAACAGCACATTTTCGACTTCTCTTCCCATGTCTTTGTTCCTTCTGTTTGATTTTCCTTTTTGTCTGACTGTAGGTGTAGAGAGAGAAATCTCCTTCCCCCATCTCTTGTCATCTCACGTGGATTCAGTGGTGGAATCCAAAGGCTGTTCTGAAAAGTTCAAGTGGGGCCTAATAATATTCAGTCTCAAGAGAGGGAAAAGGAGGGAAGACAGAATTACCACTTCCAAGTGACTTTCATGCTACTGATCATACGTAGGTCATGATCTGGGAGCCCCTGGTTTGGGGAGGAACGACAGCAATTCTGACCTTTAGAAGTTTGGTGGAGGTTCAGTCAGTCATTTTGATCATCTCCCGTTGTACCCGTAGACCCCATCAGAGGAAAAGGTGGAATGTGAGGAGATCCAGTCTGCTCTCAGCTTAAAGAGGGAACAAAATGGGATTTATCTAAATGGCAGCACATTACCAAACTGGAGGATTTTTTTTATCAAGGGGTATGGTTGTCAGGAGGTGGGTGTCAGTTCTTAGGATTGTTTTAGTACTGGGACTGCCAACTTCCCTCCCGGTGATGGTGACATCAGGCCGCAATAACCTTGCTTAATACACCTAAACAAGGACTGAACACCAAACTCCAGGTGGTGATGAGGGAGGCCCATCTGAGCAACTGTCCTGGCAAGGCCCCAGCTGGAGCACTGGGTCCAGTTCTGGGATCCCCAGTTCAAGAAGGATAGGGAACTGCTAGAGAGGGTACAGCAAAGGGATATGAAGATGAGGAGGAGACTAGAACATCTCTCTTACAAGGAAAGGCTGAGGGACTTGGGGCTTTTTAGTCTGGAGAAGAGAAGATTGAGGAGAGGTTTGGTCAACACCTATAAATATTTCAAGGGTGGGTGCCAGGAGGATGGGGCTGGTCTTTTTTTCAGTGGTGCCCATGGACAGGACAAGAGGAAATGGGCACAAACTTGAACATAAGAAGTTCCACCTAAAGATGAGGAGGAACTTCTTTGCTGTGAGGGTGGCAGAGCCCTGGCAGAGGCTGCCCAGGGAGGTGGTGGAGTCTCCTTCTCTGGAGACATTCAAACCCACCTGGACACATTCCTGTGGGACCTGCTCTGGGTGGCCCTGCTTTGGGAGGGGGTTGGACTGGATGATCTCCAGAGGTCCCTTCCAACCCCTTATCATTCTTTGATCCTGTGTGATTAAAGTGGTAGTTTTGCTTTAGTGCTGCCTTTACCTTGGATTCTGTTTCCAAAACCCACTCGAGCTCCATATGCTCGACTGTTGGTGCTTTGTTGGAACAAAGCTCTGGGATGGGTTTGTGTCTACATTTACATCTGTGTCCTACAAACAGATGGTTGGTCTCTTTTGGGTTGCATTTCTGATTTCTCAGAGGGCCCTTCCTGTCTCAGCATCTTATCAATATATAAAGGCATTATCAGTGAATATATATAAAGATTTGGAACACAAAAGCAATGTAGCGTAGCAGGATTGAAGAAGTCCTGAAAATTGATGAAATAGTCCCTCTAGGTGAAGGTAACATTTCTGTTTTACGTACTGGATGTGTTTTGAAAACTCTGGCAGTATTTAATATAGATTCTTTCCATTTTGTAGGTCTGCCAAATATTATTGAGTTGTCCGTTTACTGCATAATCTGTGCAGAGGAGAAGGTGATTTGGAACACGTTGCTTCTGGGGTTTCTAAATGATTTTCCCAAAACGATTTCAGTATCTTATTGTTCAGGAATCGGCGTCTGTCACAGAGATTTGGGAAAGCAAGCCTTATGTGTATTTACCTGTCCCCCCAACCCTTTTTGAACACTTATTTGCATTAAATTGCCCTTTTTTTTTTTTTTTTTCTTTGCCTATAGGCTCAATAGATGAGGGGGTTACGGAGGGGCTACCCACACTCCAAAGCACCTCTGGCACGAACGCTCACGCCGATGACGATGATCGGTACGTACCAACGCGGCGTCAAACTCTTCTGTGGCAAGTGCTGTGCTGTGATGGACCTCCCCAGCCTTCATCCCCCAATGTTTAGTTGCTTGTACATCTAATTTTGTGTGTTAATCAAAGCACGAGCAGTGCCTGGAGGATCAGATGCTGTAGAAGCATGTAGGTGATGAAAAATCAGAATTTGCCTACTTGTTGCTTGTCTTATTTCCAGGCAGCACTGGTGAAGAAAGAGAGTCATGTGTTTGCTGTTTCTTCATCACTGCTCTTTGTTAATAAAGAATAAAAAAAAAAATAATCACAGTAAGTGAAACAGGTGTGTTAGCTGCCTTTGTGCTAAAGCTGAGGTAAAGCAACAAAAGGAAAACAAGTCTTGGCTTCACCAGACCTCGCTGTTGCCATAAACCACAGAGCTGGCAGGGCAGCCTTAAATCTTGTCTCCCAAACTTTCTGCCTGTAGCTTCTTACCAAGACGCCCTGTGTCACTTACTGTAAATATTTAACAGCCTTTTGCTGTGCTGGGGTGAGTGATTTATTAAGGGAATGGCTTATAAGGGAAGGCTGGCAGAGGAGGCAGGACTAAAATGGGCCTGTTTGGTTGAATATATGAAAATGCCGTACCTGTGAGTGGCACGAGGATACACACAACTGTTTTGACTTTGATTTCCTTGCTTTTGTGTAAGTACAGCCTATATCTTCCCTTCCTAAGCCAAATTTTTAGAGTATTGACAAGCTGGCTTTTGCAAAGTCTTTTGTTAGACAAGTGGATCCGAGGAAGAAGCGTGAACCTTTGGGAGTTTGTTCCAGAAACTGTGTCAAGTGAAACTCCCTGTAGAGATAACTATCGAGAGCTGCATTTTCATAGCTCGTAAAATCTTTCCTGCCATTTCAATCTAAAACCTGTCCCACTGTAGGATTAAATCTGAAGGGAAAATAACTGCCTTGATGAGAGTTTTTTGTATGTTTTTATCTGTCTGCTAACAAACTTCAGTATAAAAATAATACCCAACACTTGGAGTTTGAATTGATAGTAGGAGCACATGTTGCATTAGAGCTAATCCAGGTTTTTAAAGCCATAATTCTAAAGTCAAGTGGCATATGTATTTTCTGCAGTGGATTATTTCAGAAATTTCCTTTAAAATTGCAGAGCCTCAGCTTAGCACAAACTGCGTAGGAAATTCAAAATAGATAAAATCCTTTTAACACACTGAAAATTCACACTAAAAGATCTCTCCCGTGCAGAGAGGGAAAGAATATTTGCCTTAGTTTATGCCCAAGTTGGAAAGTAATTAGTCTCAGAGTAACAGAAGCATCAGCAAAATGAACTAGAATTTGCACATTGTTTATATAAACAATAAGGGAGCTAATAGTTATGGGAATTTATGAAAACTTTAGACTCCAGAAATAAAATTTTCTACTGAGTGATTTATTTTATAAACGGAAGTGAAAGTGCCAAGACTGTACTTACTCCCTGAATCAGTTAAATGTCTAAAAAGATGCTTTTGAGTCCTGACTGGACTTCTGAATTCCTGTTTCAAGCACAGAACGGGCACATCAGCAAATAAACAAAAATTCACTGTGCAGCAATTTGGGCACATGGTTTTGGGTGCATAAAATGAGACAATGCAGAATTCTGAATAAAATCAAACATTCAGCTCTGAGTCAACTGAAAACTTGATTTGTAAGTCATACAGATGCAGAAAGTTTCCCTCACTTTTTGTTTGGTAGTTTCTTTAATGCATCTTTAAGTCCAAGTTGTACGTTGCTTTATTAGTAGAGATTTTCAAAATGTCAAAATCAGTTGTGGGTGGACAAATTTCTATGAAAAATTTGTGTTTGGGTATGTATTTACTATATTTCTACTCATAAAACAGAGCAAAAGACTGTTCCATCTAAAGGTCTTTCAATATGGCATCCTTATCACTGGAAAGAACCATAAATATTTCAAAACTTAGGATATCTTATCTCTTGAGTTTCTGTGTTAAATAATTAACATAATTAATTGATCCTCCTCCATAATCAGTCTTTCATAACCGGCAGGTCACATGCAATTGTTGTCAGTTTACTAGGCACACAGGAGTCTCTTCTGTATTAAAACTACTGTTTCACAGTGAAATCTGATATATTCTTTCTCTGATAATTTCACATTTGGGTTGCAATGTGCTTTTCTTCCCTAGATCCCTAATTCAGCTGTGGCTGGTTTATCATTTAGTCTCTTTATCACTTCGTGGCTGCATTTAAAAAGGAGTTGCAAAGGCTCAATTACAAAAGATCTCTCTGATCCAACATAATAAGAGCCTCCACTTTTCTAAAATAATTGTTATTTATAAATAGAGAACATTTCTAGGCTCACTGAGCATTCTGGCATTCGTGTTTGTCAGAGTTTAGTTCTACACAGTTAAATATGTTTACGATCTCTGGGTGAAAAGAAGAAAAAATTACAAGTAGAGTACTTGAGCATGAAAACATTTCAAACCTATTTCTTTATCTGGCTGTTACAGGAACTCTGAGATGTTAGACACATCTCAACTGTTAAATGCCACATTTCTCACAATGACAAATTGAGTAGAAAGAAGCAGGGGAGAGAAAACAGCATTGTGTTTTCAATGTAATTTCTTCATTGTGCTAAGGTCCGTGGTTGTGTCACCACCAGGTATTTCAGCCTGGGGATGGATGGGAAAGGAGGTGCCAGTCCCTGGGAGCTGGAGAACCTCCTGATGCCCTTTTCATCCCCTTTAACCAGCCTTTCTCATCAGGAGGCTTTTATGTAGGAAAAACCCCAACTTTATTTTTAATTTCTTCCAGGGGTCTTCTCCCCATAGCGCTTCTCCTTTCCATTGCAGGGAAGCTGGCACCAGTACATGTTGTTGGGATGGACTTGTCTGAGAGAGCTGGAAAGAAAAGGGGAGCTGGGGCTCCTCATTTCTGCCCTAGAAAGCTCTGGGAGCACGATGCATTTTTGCCTCCTCACAATCCCCTAATGTAGAAATGAGGAAGGAAAGACCTAAGAAACTGATTCAGGATGGACAACTTGCCCCTCACCTGGTATTTGGCAGATGTCACACAGCCTGGCTTTATTAGGCTTTTTGTTTTAAATTTATATATATATTTTTTTTAATAATAGGCCTGTCTGTAAGTGTGTGTTGATGGAGTTTTCATTGGCAAAGTGGAAAGAGCACGGTCACACCAACTCCAGAGACAAAAGTAGAGTGAAATCTGTTCTTTTTTCTTGTGATCAGCTCCCAAAGGAGCAGGACTGCCAGAGTGTGTCACAGATGTGGTTAGACAAATCAGAACCTGTGGTTTGAAAATACCCTCATTTATTTGAAGGGCATTTGGGGAGATGTGGTTAGACAAATCAGAACCTGCGTTTGAAAACACCCTCATTTATTTGAAGGGCATTTGGGGAGCCATCAGGTGGCTTTTTTAGACCCGTGAGTGGCAGTGAGATGAGGTGGTAACTTCCCTCTTGCAAATATTCCCTTCAGCAAAGATCAACAAGTCGGGCAGCATCTGTCTTTTCCACAGCTCTCTAGGACCCTACTGTGTATCAAAAAGGACAATAAAGTTCCTTCCTTAGAGCAAAGCCATCAGGTGGCTTTTTTAGACCCGTGAGTGGCAGTGAGATGAGGTGGTAACTTCCCTCTTGCAAATATTCCCTTCAGCAAAGATCAACAAGTCGGGCAGCATCTGTCTTTTCCACAGCTCTCTAGGACCCTACTGTGTATCAAAAAGGACAATAAAGTTCCTTCCTTAGAGCAAATATTATTCCAGTTCCATGTGAGACCAGAAATCCTTCTTGCTTTTACGGACTGATTGATACTAAACTCCTGCAGGAAACTCTCTTCTCTTGCGTGTATTGAGAGATGCCTGGTGCTCTCTCTCTCCAGATAAACTTTACAGCTGGAACTTTGGCCACTGAGACCTCTCTCTGTACTCAAAATTCAGATACCCAGTTCTCACAGTTGTATTGACATCCATTTCCAGAGAAGATAAAGACCATTAAAGTATTGATTTTTAAAGAGGTGATCCTAGTTCGTGGCCTCCTGTGCTGATCTGGTCTGTGGATTTTTCTACATATTTGTGCAAAGTGCACTTTTCATTTTCCTGAGCATGGGAAGTCCACAAATTCAGGCTGACCTTGAAACCAGCAGCAGGATTTGTTCAGTGAGGGAGACTTTGTGAGTGTGTGCAACAGGAGAGAGACATCGCTGTGCTTTTCTCTCACATTTTAGTAAAACCAAAATTGCATTGTTCTGGCCATGGAATGAATGCTCAGGGTCAGAGCAGTTCCCTGCTGCCTGTGACATCTCATCTGCCATCAGGCTGTGAGCAAGCTGAAATGTCTATTTCAACAAAAAAATATAGGCCTTAATTCTCAGGAAAGGGAAACCCCAGGTAAGCACAAACTCCTGTTGTTGTTCTCTTTGTACCAGCAGATTTGGGTTTATTCCACTCTGCCCTTTAGCAGAGCAAGTTCCTTGCCAGTCAGTCAGGCTGTGAGCAAACTGAAATGTCTATTTCAACAAAAAAATATAGGCCTTAATTCTCAGGAAAGGGAAACCCCAGGTAAGCACAAACTCCTGTAGTTGTTCTCTTTGTACCAGCAGATTTGGGTTTATTCCACTCTGCCCTTTAGCAGAGCAAGTTCCTTGCCAGAGGACTTGGATTGTAACACCGTAGTTCCCTTAAACAGCTTGCAGCTAGAGGCTATGTAGGAGCAATTAGGCAGTTTTAAATAAATTACTTTGAAAGTTAAATTGTTCCCTTATTATGGTCTGTGTGCTGTTTTTTAAATGCAGCGCTTGAGCTGTTCTCCTAGAACCAATAGAATCAAACAAGGAGCAAATATTGATTAATTAGCTTAATATTTCAAATTTAGAAATATATAATTGTAGATATTAATGTTTGTTCATTGAACTTGGATTGGAATGAAAATGAATTGGCTCTAATTTCACTTGTAAATATTACCGAGGGTGCAAAATGCTCCTTTGCTTTTCAGTTTGCTCAGTTCTTTAAATTCTTCCTCGGGGGCTGTTTGCCGATTGTAAATCATGGATATCCTTGAGAAAATGCCCATGCCTGGAAAATAAAGTTCAGTTCACAGCTGCTGCCCAGACCTGTTGCCCAAAGAAGCAGAAGTTAGAGGTTATTCAGTGGTTTTGCTGAGAAATTCAACGTCAGTGAACATAAAACTTCAGGTGCAGGTCAGACACGTGGCTGTAGAGGCAGAGATTGCCAGCTTTCCATGGGCCAGACTTCTCTTTTATTTTATTTTTTTTATCCTTCTAGCTTGCTTGTAAATGAGTGAATTTTTTCTTTGTAGTTTGGAGAACGTTCAGTATCCCTACCAACTCTACATTGCTCCTTCTACCAGCAGCACAGAGAGACCCAGCCCAAATGGTCCCGACAGACCTTTTCAGTGTCCGACCTGCGGGGTCCGCTTCACTCGCATTCAGAACTTAAAACAACACATGCTTATCCACTCAGGTAAGAAACTCTCCTGATTTATAGACTCAACACGGCAGCAAATGTGATAATGCAATTCTTTTTTAATGGCCTGCCAAGTGAGAACTGATTTGGGAAAGATTTGGGTAGAGGTACGTCTCGCTGGATGCTTGTTTTGATACTTCAGATCCGACTGAGAGCTCTGCTCGTGGATGATTAGCGTTTGTATGGACTGAAAAAAAAATCTGATTGCCTGAAACCCCTCAGAAGAAGTCATTTTCCTGACAAAGATTTGAGATGAAATAAAGTACACTTGGCTTTTTTTATTCTACCAAAGAAGTGATGTCGATTGAAATTCTCCCCCTTAGGTATTTTAATTGTCTGCTGTGTTTTAGAGGAGACTTGCAGCTCTAAGAAATTATTATCTGTCTTAATCCTTGCGTTGAGGGATGGTGTATGCCTTTGGATCTCAGGATTTTTGGAGGGATTGCAGGACGACTGAATTGGTTTGATAATCACTTTAGATACAGATAGCACAGGGAGCAGAAGGTTTATGTGAAGGCCTCCTCTGAGTCTTGTTCCCCAAATTGTTCCATTCATTTGGAATTCTAACCCGAGTATGAACTTCTAATGTCTTTGCTATCGGTGTTTTTCAAGACTTGTCAGAGTTATCTGGCAGTGAGTGAAGGGAGGGAATATTGAAGGGATATTGCACTTGAAGCCTCATGGTTTGGCATCTTCTGATTTGAGCTTGACTCTTACTTGCTGTACCATTTTGGGGCAGAACAACCACAATTGTCAAAGTGTAATTTTTTTTCCCTGTCAGCAATTATTTGTCAAATCCCTTCAAGCAAAATGACTATGTTTAGGCCAGCAGTAATAATACATGTTTTATACTTTAAAAAGCAGACTGTATGGCCATATCAGATGCAAAATTATCCCAAGCCATTTGCTAAAGCCTTAAGTGACAGCAGCCAGGCTTCAGTAAAGCTTCTCTGCCCGACCTGTCAACTGGCAACCCCTGGGCAAAGCTGGGAGAGATTTGAATAGCTGTTTTAAGAGGAATTAGCATGCAAAAGGAACTCTCAAAACCTGTAAATGTTGAAAGTGTTTTCACATAAGGAAAATGGCTGAAGAGATTTTTTCGTCTGGCTATCAGAGGAAATAGATGCCCTTGGACAGTACGGAGGCCTGAAAAGTTTGAGCTCCACGAGACAATATTCTAGTATATTAACTTGTTTTCACATGCTTAACGAGGAGTTTTGGTGTAACCTTAACTACAGCTTTCTCTGGATAAAAGCCCCAATTAAAAGTTCAGCTCCTGCTTTGAACGTAAGGAAAGCAGAGTGAAAGACTGGGGGAATTAACAACCCGGGCTGATGCACATTCAGCCTTTTGAAAAACCCTTTTTTTTATTCCTTGACAGCCCTATTATGAATAGAGCTCCATATTCCAGGTTCTTGGCCTCACGTTTGGTTTTCCACACTTTCTGGAGTTCAGACTTTTTTATTAAGTCTTAGCTTTTTGGTGATTCAGCCCTTTTATGTTGTAATAGTTGTGTTTGGGTGTGATTACATACCCTCGGCCGCCGCAATATGTTGCAGGGCTTGGATGTTTTAGGGTTTTATTAGTGTCTGGAGTGAAAAAAGAGCTAGTAACAGGACTCCTAAATTAATAGGAGGAAAAAAAAATGAGGCATGAACATAAACTGTCTCGGAGGGCTGTCTGTCATGCAAAGTTGCTGAAGATTCTTGTATAGAAAGGTTCCCATGCAATATAAAGGCTGCTCCTTCCCCCTTTTATCCATTACAGGGGCATCCTTGTGCGTGCAGTCCCCCTGCCAGAGCACTTCTCAGAGGCCAAAGGCAGCCAGAAAAAGACGTTGCAATTAAAGCTGGTCTGATAATTGCATTGTTGGGAGCCAGTCTGGCACAAGAATCTCCCCAGATCAAAAGAGTTCAAAGAGGGTTTGAGATGACTGCTGCATCGGATACTTTTTGGCTCAGGATTTGAGCCATAGTAGAATCCACAGAGGCTTAATGTTTGTTTTAAACTGTGGGGAAGACGAAGATGTGGAAGGGTTAGGGACAGGTCACGTTGGTGTGAAGTTTATTGAAAGTGTAGATCCATGCTAATCATAGAATCATAGAGTCATAGAGTTGTCCAGGCTGGAAGGGACCTCCAAAGGTCATCTAGTCCGACCTCCCCACAGTCAGCAGGGACACCCCCAACTAGACCAGGTTGCCCAGGGCCTC